GGAGTGCTTACCGTCGTGAAAGCGGCGGGTTTCTGCGAAAACGGTAAATATTTAGCAGCGACGAAGAGTGAGTTTCGTTGTTCGTGCGCCCCTTTACAGCTGCGAATTAGCTTTCGCGAAAACCGCTAACAACCGTTGAAATTTACGGTGGAACGCGAACAGGATGGAGGTTGTAGCGCGATCGTGCGACATTATTGACCGGAATCTTCGTCCCCTCGACAAGAAGAGGAGGAAGAAACGTCGCGCGACGATTTCAAGACTGGGAAGATAGACTCGAGTCCCTGTACCGAGGGCGATATTGCGATGAAAGACCTGTAGTAGCTGCCACATGGTTTCCTCGACGATTTTCTCGAACTGGAAAAGACCGGGTGGCCGAGTGACAGACCTTCCCTTATCGTCGAAATGCGGAAAGCGAGTCTCCGGTTTCTTAACTCGATTCTCTCTTACATCGGAGACATTCCAGTCGACGATACCCAGGGAGAACAGAAAGTCAAAATGATGTAAATTTGACCAATGTGACGTGTAATTGACATCATTTTGACTTTTCTGCTCTACTTGGATACCTGCGCGAGGACAGTCTGCAAGGGATCAACGGCGGATCGAGAAAATTAAGTGATATGCCTCCCGTAAAAGAAGAATAAATACTCGTAAAATGATATGTCGCGATTGAGGTCTTCCATCAGCGACCGAATCGCACTCGCGGGCCAATGATTCCGAGATATGCTGCTACGAACGATTGTTGCCGAATAGATGAATTTTGCCTCTCTCGTCGTAACATTCCGTACGGAATGTTAGGATCATAAGTGACTCGCGAAAACTGGGGGTTTGTCAAGTAATCATTTCGGCGAGATCGAGTGTTTTGAGGCCTTTTTCTGGGAGTGCGTGTCTTCCCGTTAACTCGGAAACGCGGGGAGAATAACCCGAAACACCTGCGAAGGAATGCAGTCGGAGAAATCGCGAAAAAAATGATGATAGCGACTCGCCGAGGAATTCAATTAAGTGGAAACTCGATCATTAACGAGAAAAGACACCTTCCCGACAATCCCGAGTTCACGTCGCCCCCCCGGGAAAGTTCTGCGAACGTGCGAGATTGCCTGCTCGAGGATTTCGAGAGATTAGATGGTTGATTCCCTGACTGTGATGGGGGAAAAAATAGACGAAGCGAGAGAGGGAGAGACAAAACTCGAGGATGTCCATCCTAACTTTTAATCTCCGCGAGGATTCCCTTAATTCCGGCACTTATTACACTTATCCGCGACTCGAGTCCAATCACGGTTAATCTCGGTAATTTCATTGCCGCTTTATCGAGAAGAAAACCGCGAGTTCTCGAGGTCGAAACCTGCATATATATATTTCCCTATCAGCTTTGCACATACCATTGAGAGATAATGCACGTGAGATTATGCTACAAATGTGTATGTATGTGGGTGTGTGTACACTTATGTGTGCGTGTTATATACAGTAATTCACGCTTCGCTAATATTGGCACTTGGTTTTCGTGTAGAGCTTTTATTACGTTTTCATTCAACAAGTCATCGAGAGAGACAGTCGAGAAAGAAGCGTGAGACAGAATGCGATGGAGACGGGAGTTCGAGCGTCGTTTGGACCTTTTGAGCATGGACACGATCGCGTCTGCGAAGCGTCGCTCATCCGAACACGGACGGAGCACGACTCGATGACGTCTAGGGTGATTCCGGAGGCAGTATCGAGCGTGTACGATGACACGCGTTTAGAAATAAGGGCACTGATCTTTCGCTCGATGCGTCGCGACTCGCGACCACCAACTAATCCGGCTATCTGGACGTTGAACAAACACCGTGGATGTCGCATCTTAACGAACGAGCCCAGCTAGTAGAAAATTCTAAAAGACATCTCAAAAACATCACAAAGACGTCTGAAAGACGACATAATTTTTCAGACGTCTTTTAGAAGAGCTTCTGCTAGCTGGGAAGTGGGACTCCAATCTAATTGTAAGTTACAGAAGAGGAACAACGTCTGTCCGCCGTGATCGCCGACTCGAGGAGAATCTCTCCTTCAATAGAATCGAACAATCTCCCCTTATCCCCCCTCCCCGTGATTAACGGGACTATTTTCTAGCATAAGTTTTGATTCTCTTTCGCGGAACGAGTATATTTGTGCGAGATTATTATTTCCGTATAAAACCGACGTGTGTTCGTACATCCGGCGAACCTATAAGTGTATCGCGCGATCTTGCTCGTTCTGTCAAACGATCGAGAAAGAGAAAGAGAGAGAGAAAGTAATAACGCCTTTTTCTTCATTTGGAGAACAGCGATCTCCACTAACGATTATCTTTCCTCGCGAAACGACAACGGAGTGACGATAATTAAGGTGCGAAAACGTTAAACGCTAAGCACGGCATTAAGAGCACTTACTTTCGCAAGAGCGCAACTAACGTGGGTCGACGCTTGGGTCGTTTTGAGTTCAAGGGTGGCGACGAGCCCGAGAGAAACCGGCCTGTTTACGCGTGTGGTTTAAGTTAAGTCGCGCGAGTTACACGTATCGCGATTCGATCGGTAATATTACCGTATTTTCTATTATTTGAACATCGTTTCGGTTTCAGTTTCTTTGGCACTGTTTACATTTTTTCATTCCGGCCGGGTTTAGACGATCGATTTGTCGGTCGACGGAGGACGAGAGCGTTTTAATCGAACGTGCTTGTTGAAGCTCAAGTAATAACTCATAGCTAACGGAGAACACCGCCTATCGATTTACAACGTAATCGTAGCGAAAGTTATTTACAAGTGATACAATTTACAAAGGGCACTGACTGGTATAACGTGGTAACTACTGAAAAAAAAAAAACGTCCGATTCTCGGCCGCGAGTCTTTATCGAAACATTTTATGCACCAGTATCGAACTTTTTGTACGACATAGCGTTATCAGTGCAAAGTATTAACGCCGAGTTGATAAAAGTCGTCGAAATAGCGAGTATAAATAAAAACGTTGATATTAATATTTATTTCTTTTCCATCTTCTTTTGTTTTTTTAAATGCAAAGGAACTCTCGAGTAGAAAAACAAAAATTTATATCTATAATTATGAATATGATTCAACCGGTTCCTTCATCTTTAAAGATCGACAAAAACTCCGATTATATTCGAATTTGCGGTCAATTACCTGCACACGCATATTAATACTCGTGCAATATTTAGATGAGGAAATACGTTGTTTTATTAATGCGGCTTGACGTAATGTTATTGTTCAACGCTGTGTCATACGTTCAATTAGGGCAAAGTCCCTTCTTTTCTTCGTATACAGTATTTCCCGACATTTCGCATAAAGACTCTAACCGAGATATCCTATCCTAATACATCTGACCTCGTATATTACGCGTTCTTAAAAAGAGTTCGCATGGTGCAATGCGCGTTGTAACATTACGTGAGATTATTTATATCTACAATGACTTTCGCAATGTGTCGTATTGCACAACTACAAGAGAAATTCTATAATATCGCTGTTTTGTAATAAAAAGTTCATTCAATAACAATGAATTTTTTAACATTTTCATTATATGTATGTGTGTGTGTGTATATATATATATGTTTATATATATACTATATATTAATCAATTATAAATAACTAGACGTTATAAAACAAAGAGAAATCGATAAACAACCCGGAATCGTTCAATATTCAAGCAGTTGTCCCGGATCTGTAAACTCAACAGCATTGAGTAATAATACAACTATTGCGTGTTCATTGAACTGTATATATGTATCAAAAAGAGAGAGAGAGAGAGAAAGAGAGAAAGAAACGTAACTTGTTAAACGACATTCTAATTTGTTCTATTGCTAATCGTAAGTCGTTTAAATTTAATAACATCGCGATAATTCTATGAATGTGCTCAGGAACAACGTAATAGGAGGAAAAAAGATCGCGAACGCGGTAATGATAAAATTTCTCAAACACACGTAATACATAATTCGTTATCAACATATTCGGCAGACCGTTTTTATATCTAAAACCTCTCGTAAGCATTTTACGCACCTGACAAACGTGCCCTCTTTCCTTTATACCCACGGCTCGACGAATGGCTTCGGGCAAATAATTCGCCGTCGTGAAAAATGTGTTAATGAGCAATAAAAAGACTAGGACCGTCCCCGGAGGAAGTAACGTCGCGTACCGGAGTTAATCGTTTAACGCGTATTAAAACGCATAGAATGTTTAGTCAATCGTTAAAAAACTGTCAGGCGCTTTGGAATTACGCTAACTTTCGTAGAAATGCGAATGAAACAATAAAATGGTCAATTTAAGAATGCTAAACTCGTGTTACAAAAATTATGGAAATTACGTTTGTTGCAATACATACATTTGTGAAATATAAGAAATTCGTTTGACACTATATTGGATATGTAATCTATTTGCACATATTCGAGTGGATAATTTCCAATGATATTTTGAGTACGATAGATTAGTCAAATAAAGTATTAAAAAATTTGGCACCGTGGATTTCCGTGCAAATTCAATCGAAAAGATCGACTGGAAATCCTATCGCAATGTACTCAATGTATGCAGATATCTGCATGTTTTTTATCCGTTTGAATAATAATATAATAACAACAATAGCAATAATAATAATTACAAATAATATTAATAGCAAAAATTACAATATAATTGTTAATTATAATAATTAAACAAAGATATTCTTTACATGGATTATTATGAAACTGTACACAACATATGATATTGTCGTTTAGTAATTATTAATGATTGACAATTATTATAAAAACTATGTTTCGTATATTAGTCTTTTTAAAAATTTTCCTTTTTTTTTACAGAAAAACTGTTATCGCACTGCGCCGAACGCTTCTTCCTTTATTTCTCAACAATTAAAATTTAAAAATCATAAAAAAAACTAGCATAGCGTATATGCCACGTCTTTTTAAGATCAAATTCGCTATGGGATCAAGATGATTTGGCTTTTAAAATGGATTTCACTAGTTTACGTGACTTTAAATAATATATGATACACTTTCATCTGCTTGAGTTGTTATTTTGCGCGGTTGAACAATTTCTTTTGCTTCTTTTTTCTTTTCCCTTAAGGCTGCTTATCGTGTCTCGGTTTTTTCTTGTCAACCGATCATACCTATTAGATAATCAATACGCTATCATATAGAACGTATGAGCGAAGGAAAAAAAGAACGAAGAAGTAACAAAGAATCTTAAAATCACGAAGTACCACGGTCTCTCTCTCACATATAGGAAGGTAACCCGTTATTTTTTTTTTCCAAGTCCTTTCTCAAGTTGCGACGAGCAACGCACGAATCGCGCGCGAGAGGATTCGTGCCAGCTCATGGATAAAATGTACGCATGTATATGTTATATGTGTCTTGCGAGCCAGTTTTCTTTCCTCCTTCCGGCGGACAAAAAGAAACCCGGACGTGGCACGCGGTAAGCCTTATTATCTCTTGGACCCTCTTCTCACAATCATATCATTTTTTTTTGTTTCTTTTCTTTTATTTACGTACTTCTTAAAGTGGACGACACTTGTGGACGTGCGCACGGTAAGTAACTTATTACAGAGTTTAACTACTTTTTTCCCGTTGCGCCTTCTCTATTCGATTTTTTACAATATCTTCCTCAGTCGTCACGGGACCAGCTTTAAAATCTCGGTATGTCCCCGCACAATTTTATATTTCGCTGATCGTCAGAATGCCCTTATCTCCATTTCTCTATGGATTTTCGCACAGGCACGGGTATTTCTTCTCTTGTTTGCCTATCTCTTGAATGTAACTCGATTGTCGTCAGCCTTCACCACGCAAGTATTAGAATTGGTCGAAGTCGGCGCGCAAATCTTACCGTGATGATGAGAATCGGCGAGGTCGTCGCCGTCGTAGAAATCGTTGCGATCGTTGGCTCTTGCAGCGGAGACGTAAAGAGAATTCGCAGGAAGAGTATTTCGCGTACGGTGTATATTTATCATTGCGAAATGCTTTATGATAAATATTGTACACGAGATCGCGCAACTTCGAGCCATTTAGAGTCACTTGATTTTTCGGCGATAGAACACAGGAACCATGTGGACCGTGAAAGATCAGCCTTAGAACTTGCCGAGAAAATGCAGATTCTATGGCAACGTTGACAGTACCGAAGAAGAGGAGAGGAATAAGAGGCGGTTTTTTCAGTTTATGTCAGTAATGCCGATTGTTGATACCCCCGGTGTTGTTGCTGCCGTTATTCATGGAGTTAGTGGTGCTAATTATACCACTATCAATGGTATTTGCAGTCGATATCCTGTCGGCGGCGTGCTCACTGTCGTATTCTAAGATCAGTCGTTTTATATGGCTCAGCTTATTGTGCAGATAGTCGAACCGTTCCTTCGTCTGCTGATACACTCGATTCTGCTTAGTTTTCTTGTACTCACAAAATATCTGTTCCCTGGTTTCCTGAAATAAAAGAAAAACACCATATGAGCATCCTCGTCCATTTGTTTGACAAATGCGATAGTTTATGATAGAAGAAACAGCATAATACCTCGCTCTCGATCACATTGCCCGATTTCTGTTGACTTTGCAATAATTGATACAAATGCCTGAAGCGATTCGCGACTACAAGTACTTCGGAGTGCAACCTGCGATATTCGTCGTAATTGCTGTAGAATTCCTCTTTGTAACGCCTTTTCTGTTCCGGGCTGCTTATCGTTGTATATTCCCTGAACAAATTATTTTACATAAATATTGCATCAATCGACAAGTTATGTTAAATTAAATCGTAACGACTTATGGAAAGAATGTCTAGTTTTTCGTTGGCTATTTGAAACTATTACCGCGAATTAGTGATCAATAACACAGCTAAAGTGTACTCACGTGCGGTAGTCGAGATATTGTCCGGTGCTTCCCAGCCTTTCAAACTCATCAATCGGCAGCGAGATTGTGGCAGTACCATTGGCGTTATCGACATAAGTAGGAGCGCTGTTAGAAGTTTCACCGTAGATAGCCGCATCATTCGCTGCATTACTCCTATTCCTGGATTCCCTCTCTCTGTTTCTCTCTTCTCTCGCACCTCGACTCCTATCGCTCCTATCTCTCCTATCAGAGTGCACGTCGATCAAGCTGCCCCCGGCAATTCCATTGGCTATAACACCACCGTCGTGTCCATGCCCGTGGTTGCCCCTTTCACTATCACTAGGCGACAACGGCGTCAAGTACGATGATCGATTGGAACCGCTTGGCACCGCGGTGACGGCGGCAACGACGGCGACATCGCTGTAGATGTTTCCAGTACCCCGTAGAATATCACTGTTTGCTGTCCTTTCGGCTCGGTAATCAACGCGGCTGCTGTTGCCGCGTTCACGCTGCGATTGTTGCCTCAATTCCCAACCGTCAAAACTGCTACCGCCGCTGTTACTATTACTACCACCACCACCACCACTATTGCTGCTACTACAACCACTATTAACGCTGGTGATACGATTAACGATACGGTCGCCACCGGCGGTTGCACTAACACCACTGTTATTACTATAACTGCCGCTGCCAGACACCCTTTCGCCGGCGGGGATAAAGGAGATAGGTTCGGGTCTCCTATAATGCGATATCCGCGGTTTCTTCGTCGTTAATCCGTCGCTACCCTGGTAATATCCTGGTCTCTTATTACTAACCAAATTGGGCGGGGGTGCCGTGATGGCCGGCGGTGAGCCCGCATGAATGGAATTGGGTGATTGACCGCTGCCTAAGAGTGTAAACATATGCAAAAAATGTGTTATTTAAAATAAAGTTTCGTATTCATGTATGTAAATAGGAGTGCTGATAGCGAGTAGTACACGTACCACTGGAACCACCGTCGCTCGAGCCAGGTGGCGTGAGGTTCTGAGGTTTCCGCCTCCTCAACATTGTCCTTTCCTGCTCGGTATAGAAAGGCCAATCCTCCTGCACGTCGTTCCAGATGTGCCTGTTCAAGTGATACGTGTTGTCACGCATGTAAGCCACTTGCTTCAGGATCATCGGCATGACGGATCGCTCTCGGTCCCTCAAGCCCTCTGAAATTCGTTGACGTATTAATATCAATGATCGGCTATTCCGACAAGTTGAGAAAACATTCAGATCTCATCTTACCCTTGTTGATGCGATCATAGAGTTCGGGCTTCTTGTAGGGCCTCAAAGCAAGGACGTGGATAAGTCTTTCCCTATTGCATAGAAAAAATGCAAAATATATCAAAAATCTATGACGAGAAACATCAAAACCTTTAATAAATTTCCTTTCTATTTGTATTTCATTGAGACTTTTTTAGCCTTTGTGTCGTTGATCTAGCGCGGAAGATTGTTTCTCGGTCGTTTCTCTATTTTTTTTTTTTTTAACGGAACTTGACTTATGCTCTTATATCAATGCACTTACTTAAGTGGCCTGCGCATAATGTCGGAAATTTTTTTCTCCAGATTGCGAGCCGCCGCTAGATGGTTACTACTATTACTATTACTACTACTATTAGCGATCGGCTTGTTGGTTGAAGCTTTGGGCTGACTATTGCCGGAAGTTGGAATGCTCGTCGTGGATTCCCGATGCCTTGCATACGATGACGGAGGAGGTATTGTCCTTCCGGTTCCTTTCACTTTCACCTTGCGTCCGATATCTGGACCGTTCGCCTTGATCACCCTGGTGCTGAAAGACATAAATTCTATTGAGATAAACAAAAATGTATGCATAAGATTCTAATGTCCTAATTACCTAATTAACCAATATTTAAAAAATTGAAAAAGAATAATTAATAAAATGTAAAAAAATGAAGAGCACATTCGTATTTTTATTTTTGATATCTAAAATTAATCGAAATATAAGAAACATTATATATATTTCTAATACATTTATTCGTTAATTTATAGGAAATATAGCAACATAATCTATTTCATCTCGTCATACGGCAAACATAACACATTCATAAACAAAATCTCTGATTTCCGTTGTGTATTTATAAACAAAACGGTCTCTGCGCGACAAGCCTCGCCACATATCGGTGCAATTAATGCAATTTGCAGCATCGCTGACATAGGGGTCCGATCGATTGTCTGGTTATGCAATTTTCATTGGCGTTGACCGCGCGTAAGCGCGCGCCGCGATAAAGCATTGCAACGGTGAAGAGAGGCGGAAAAGGGTTTACTTGTGACGAAATCGCACTTGTGAGGCGCTCTTAGCCTTGGCCGTGACGAGCGAAGACGACTAAACAAATTAGCCGACGATGCGGATCCGTCAGACGAGAGCGCAAAATCTCACGATTCGAACTGCGGCTGACAATTGCAAAGTATACAGTTCCGAATATTCGCCTGTTTGCGAAAATTTGGAGAAACAGTCGTCTGTGTTTTCTGACAAATATTAGTATTTTTTTTTAATCTTTTATTCTGCTAAACAGACGCGAATATTCGTCTCCGTAACGCGAACGTATCGTTCGCGTGTCTCCGAATTTTTCGAAAATTCGCTGGATATTTTTGTTCGATTTACAAATACCGCAAATCATATCCGCGTGCTATCCAAAGGTACATACATCCTCGGGCGCGCGATTTTCTTCGAATTCTCGCGACATCGCGGCGACGAGTAAACTGCGTACGCGCGCGACGAGGTTTCCTCATAAATTCCTTCGTGAATCGCGCGAACATCCGTTAGAAGACCGTATCTACGGGCGAAAGTTTGTAAGAGTAGGGCCACGAGGCGAGAATTATTTACGGTTCCGCGGCGACCGTGAGCGTCTCGGAAGTAAAGTCCTGAAAATGAAGAGAAGGAACGCGGTTCGCGTTCCTTTGCCAAAAAAAAAGAAAGGACCTTTCGCCCGAAGGATCGAACGGCCGCCGACGGCCGTATGTCCCGCACCTCAAGGGAGCATTCTTACCATTTGTTCTTGTTATTCTCCTCGGCGACCGCCATTCTGTGCCTGGTGGTCTCGTAAACGTCATCGTTTGCCTGTATCCGCATCTTGTACGGTATAGTGCCGAGGCTCTCGAGGCTTCTACAAGAAGAGAAATAAGAAGGTAATAAGAGAGGATAAAAAAAGAAGGTAATGAGACGACAATAAGAATCGAGCTAAGAGGCAATTCTTTAAGCAATTTGACTCGCAGCTTCGTTCTGATATTAACTAGATAAACAAGAATACGAGATCTAAAGATATATAGATATATAGAATTAAGACGCAATGCTTGATATATAATTTTGATCTTATTATTATTATCGTTATTGTATTCATTGATATACACATTATGGTACATTATGTCATATTTATCCGCGAACTACACGTGGAATATCCCGGGCCTATTGTTGCTCGACAAATAAAGTAAAGCGAGCAGAAGTGAGTCGGCGAGCGAATCGAAGTTCAATTTATCATCGCCGCGCTGTTACGTTTTTAACGTCAATTCGTCAAATCACCGGATCGTATCGCCGGATGCGGTGAGCGCCAGAGTAAGCTACTGAATCGGTTTCTGCTGACGCAAGCATAACCGTTCGCGACGAGAGTGTAGTCGGCAGTAGTCGACACCTGCTAGCGCGCTAAACAGCGCTTTAGTGTGTCAAGTTGCCGCGATAAAACCACCTGCTCAAGGATGCTCCAATGTGTTTTTTACATCGCGCGATTTAGATTGCGGATTACGTTACGGCGCTTACGACGGAAGATTACTCGGAAATTACCGTATCGCGTATACCGAGTCCATTCACCGAGACATTATTTCTCAGTTATAGCGAATCTGATAGCCGCTGTGACATACATAAAATCTCTCTCTCTCTCTCTCTTTCTTCTGCGAACGTTAAAAATATAATAACAGCGAGGAACTTGACCACATGATTGACAAATAATGGGCGTAAAGCGATTCAGCCCGCGGCTTTTTATCTGTTTTCGATTCTTGCGTATAATATACGGCGATACGCTGAACGTACGAACGTAAATGCATAAATTACCTCGCGAGCTCTCATTATACCATAATAATAATCGATACGTACTTAGGGCCGGTCTGTTGAGCACACTCGAGGCCACCCTGGGAACCCTCCATGTCCTGGCTGCTGGAGATGCTGAAGGTGAATCTGGACACTCCGTCGATGGATGGAATGCTGAGATGCTGAAATCAGAACGCAGAGCGTGCCGGTTAGTCGTCTCTCGTCGTTCCTCTTAATAAGATCGCATTAAATTACGAAACGGACGGCCTGTGCCGTGTACCCGTACGTATGTCT